AAGAAATGGGCTTCACACATTGTACCCATGTCGGGAATCGAACCCGGGTCTTCTGCGTGACGAGCGAACGCTTTAACCACTAGGCTACCCGACCGCCCTAGGTCTCCTAGAAGCAGGACAATCTCAACTTACAGATATCGGCAGCAGAACTCGGTGGAAGATGGACCTAGAAGTGAACGTCCTCGAGTCACCACTGCGGCGCAAGATAGGTACATCCGGGTACATCACCTCCGTCAGCGAACAGCAACAGCGACCACTACCGCTAGGCAAATACCCGGATTGAGAAGGATATCTGCACAGATTGTCAGGAACAGACTACGAGAGGCAGGTTAAAGAGCAAGAAGACCCTACTTTGGCCCCGTTATGCGTCAGCAGCATCGACGTCATCGCGTTCAATGGTGTACAAACGTTCAGGCCTGGAATTTGGTGAATTGGCGTCGAATCTGGTTCAGCGATGAATCGATATTTCTGTTGGAACGACGCGATGTGTACGGGTGTACAGACGGCGTCATGAACGTTTTGCCGACGCCTGTGTCCCCCAGGTGGACAGATTCGGCAGGGGCAGCGTGATGATATCCTACACTGGAAGAAGTGACTTGGTGTTGATCCAAGGCAACCTGACAGCGCAACGCTGCTGCGATCAAGTCCTTCGTCCACACCTCCTTCCCATTATCAACCGCCAGAGGGAGCTATTCCAGCAGGATAACGCCAGACCAAATACGGCACGTGTCACGAGGGCCTTCCTCCAGAATGAGAACATCAATGTGCTGCCCTGGCCCTCCAGATCACCAGACTGAAACCCGATAGAACATCTTTGGGATGCCCTGGACAGACGGGTGCGACAGCGTAACCCACAGCCCCAGACACTCCAGCAACTAGCACATGCACTACAGGCAGAGTGGGCTACATTGCAGCAACATCAGATTCAGAGACTAATTCGTTCTATGCCGAGATGATGTCGCGCAGTTCTGAACGCCAACTGTGGTCATACGAGGTACTGACTTCAGCGCCATCAAACGTCGATGTGTGATTCATAAACTGACTTTTTCCGATGTCTTCTTAAACAGTGATACCTTGACATTTCCTGTGTAAAATTTCTTCGAATTCCATTTGCTATTAACTTGTCCACAGTGTATCAAAATAAAAATAAAATTCTTATATGCGTTTCTTTTTTGAGAGAGTATATTTAGCGAGCCTATTATTCCTAATACAGGATATTTACTATTCCCAAACACACAAGCGTGATAACATCTTTATCATATAATGTCATTCTTCAATTCTGTGCTCGAAAATTCTCTTCCCACCACAAACATTATCTTAACATTGCAAGCTTTCATGGAATGTGCGCATAAATATATATTACGTCAGAAGGTAAGTGGCGTGTTAGTCGGACAATGACAACAGTCAATAAAGTTCCAACTAAAATCTGTTTCTTTTACAGTGGCGTAACTACAAATAAAAATTGCCTACACAAATTGTTTCTTCTTGGCTTACGCGGCAATCCATCGTCTGTCCTCTAGAGTAACTGCCCTTTATCAAAGGGAAGGTACTCTAACCCTAGCGTGCGTTGCAAGGCGCCAATCGCTTACCAATCTCATTAAAATCAGATCTTAGTTCTCGCTACCGCTCATTTTGACCGACCAATGAAATGACTGACAAGAAATCAACATTAGCCAATCAGAAGGCAGCTTTCTCGAGCTTTATGACACTAGTTTCAAACTGGCGACTACGCTTCGAAACATATTTTGACGTATTCTCGATTAAAAAAAATAAAACTGATAAGAAGAACATTCTGGAATGGCTTATGTATGGCCTAGATTGTATGGATATAATCATAAAACCCGAAACTGCCGTTTGGGATACCCCGTGTTAAATATTTCGTGGTTGCATGATTAGAAAATACATTCCGACTGTCACTTTCATGATCTGGTAAGCGACGCTCTGATTGGTTGGATGAAAGGTCGTTCTGACGTGACCCTTAATGGGATGTCCTCAGATTATATTTTTCAGCAATAGAGAGAACTAAGATCTGATTTTAATGAGATTGATCGCTTGCAAGCGATTTACAGCGATTCGCCTTACGAATAACTTTCAGCCTCTTCCAGTCATACCAATCGCTGACTGAGGTCGCTTCGTTCGCAAACCAAAATGGCGGCTGCGTTTTGACACCTGAACAAGAATATCTTGACTGGATCAACGAGGAAATGAGCACAGGCAGCTGATCATGACACACCGTCATCCTCAGTCTGCTCCACAACGTCAAAGTAGTCATAAGTTTCATCATAACGTCATCAAGCCTCTTCTATTACGTTTTTCATTACGGCAAGGCAACCAAGTGGTAGTTGCGCCGCCACTCTGGAAGATTGAGCAACCGCTTCGAACTGTTGCAGACCCCGGGATGAGCGATTAATGTGGTTACTCGAATCAATTCGTGGCTTGCAAAGCGACCCTAGTCTATGAGACGTCACGTCTGTCTGTCCTGTCATAACGTTACGAAACACAGTCTGATGTACCAACGGCGACAAAACGAAACATGGTAAAAAATTTGACATATTGACCAAATACAACTGTTTTATTTTTTGGGAAAGGTTCCAAGCCGCAGAGGCCTACAACCACAGATATGGAAATTGATCCCGCTAGGCTAGTGTCCTCGCTAAACTGTTTCACAATTTATATCTCCAAAGTTGCCAAAACTCGTAAAAAGGCCTCACCACAGGGTGAATTAACTGTACACTAGGGGTAGTGGCAACACAGTAAAGACCTGTAAAGACCGACTGGCGGTTGTTTGTCCCTTGGCTGAATAACAACCCGGTTCCTAGCAGGATACGATCTCATCACCTCGGGCTGCTAACCTGGCGCTTTTTGACAGTTTGCCCACAATGGTGGAATGCTGTCTAAAACAACTGTACATGGCACACGTATCCAAGTTGCTTAGGGCTCTACAATTCGCCGCGGGGAGTTGCGTTCTTAAGATGTGCCAGGTCCCAACGATTGTGAGTTCAAATCCCTCACTCTTCCTTGTTATGACACTGTGTGTGATAAAGCTCGCCTTCTACCTGCATTACTTTGGGGTGTCCTGAAACATTAAGCTGATGCGCCCTAATATAACAGTTCAAAACCGCTTTAAACCAAACTCATTCACTTAACTGTACATACTTTTGTACAATTAGTAGAGGAGACATGGTATTGAAAAACAGTAAACTACGTTTATAACGAACACTCTTATAACGAATTAACCGATATAACGAACTTATTTTTTAGTCCCGGCCATTTGTTGTATACACTCTTCAAGAGAAGAAACGCACAGGTAGATGTTTAGTAAATTTATTGTACCTAATAAAGTCGAAATATTTAATTTGATATCATAGATACATATATGAAATTTTGGAGCTCGATAGTCACATGTTGTCGTTGTACAAAGGCATTGAAAACTGTTCATTGTCATGTCACATAAGGCCACAAGGTAGTGCTAAACTCAGTATCTCCCGTGACCGCGTCGGACAGCAATCACGGCCCTGCATTTCCTCGGCACTGCACTGAGTAGATAAGTGTACGAATTCTGTCCTGCGGAATTCTGCGCCATTCAGCTTGTAACGCGTTGGCCAGTTGTGTGAGTGTCTGCGGCGTGTTCTGACATTGACGTACACGTCGATCGAGTTCATCCCAGAGATGTTCGATTGGGTTGAGATCTGGAGATCTCGACGGCCAGGGCAAGACGTAGATGTTGCCAGTATGCAGGTAGTCTACCGTGACACGAGCTGTGTGCGATGGAGCGTTGTCCTGTTGAAACAGCTCTCACTGGCGGTCAATGATTGGAAGAAGGTGAGGTTGAAGAATTTGATTCATGTAGCGATTTGCTGTCAAATGTCCCTGAACCACAACCACGTCAGATCTCGTGGTGTAGGATATGACCCCCACAACATGACGCTGCCGCCACCGAATGTGTCGAATTCACGTACACAATGTGGGGCAAAACGTTCATTTGGACGACGCTAAACACGTTGTCTTCCATCTCGCCGGTGAAGAAGAAATCGTGATTCATGGCTGAACCCACACTCGTCTCCAGTTTCTCCATTTCCAAGGCTACAAGGTATGGCACCATTGCAAGCGTCCTCTTTGGATACGTCCTATGACGATGTTCCGATCGGCAGCGCTGAGTCTCAGATTTTCGATCTTGAAAAATGTTGACAATTGAATGACAAATTATTGGCTTATGCTTTCCTTTTTATAGCCACTACCACGAGTTACGAATGCCATAACTTGCACGTACATTTGGCTTTATTTTTTCCTCCATGGCATTTTCGAACAAGTGTGAAAACAATGTCGTTTAAGACATTGCAAATCGACAATGGCTGCGTTTTGACGCATCGTTTGACGAATATCAGACCACCAACATTTTCCAATAACATATGTCCAATTTATCATCCAAAACTGGCTCCCACAGGAGCAATATCAACACTGTAGATATCGCTGCAATGAAATTTCATCACAATGCTTTGCAGAGCATTGTGACGTCACTGGTTACCATGACGTCACAATCAAATGACATCACTAATGGCTCTGCTACGGAAGCTGTTAGCAGTACTTTTTACACTTAAGACACTGCTTATTACTGTCTACAAATTGAAAAAGTTGGAAGAATGATATTGGATGATAAATATAATCTCACCCTCGTGTCGTTTGATATCAAATATATCAACACTCGTTGATAAAAGTGGCAAAAATCCTCGGCAAGCCTCGTAATTTTTCCACTTTTATCAACTTGTGTTGAAATATTTGATATCAGAAGACACTCGGGTGAGATTCTTTATTAATATACCGGATTTTTTGTGTTGTCAGGTTCAATGAACTACATACTACCTATGCGTTCCTTTGTTTGAAGAGTGCATATGCTACCGAACTACTGTTATAACGAACTAAAATTAGTGGTCCTTCTGAGTTCGTTCTAACCCTAGTTTACTATATCAATAAAATATAAAGAAAAGAATGAACCATCTTACCTTTAAAACGATAATATCTCGACCCAGGTTGTGGAACAGTCAGTGTTTCACTATAGAGACAGGTAGTGGCAAAACTACAAACACTAGTGTGTTTGTTGAACACTATTCCGCTGCAGTTTTCACTCTGAGCACATTTTGAACAACAGAGAGGAATGTTTCGTGCCTTTAGTGATAGGTGCTCTGCTGAAGATCCAAGGTTGTCAAACTCGGGAACTTTGTAAAAATGTGAAAACACAAGGTCATCGTTCGCAGCCAGGACACATGCTACTAAAATTGAAACGTCGAAAGTAATATAAGCTGAGAACATAGTGCTATGATTCACGGTTTAACAGTCAAGGGATAAGCTAGTGGTTGCCAAGTAGATTCAACTTCCAAATAAACACGCGTCTTCTTCGAGCGTATATCTCTTGACAACTGAAAGATAAATCAAAGCTCATGCCAATACGCGTGGCTATTGATTTGTTATGCCCCAAGACAGGAAAGAAGCGCATCTATCAATATATAATGATCAGATTTTATGGGATTGTTTTTGAAAGCCGTTCAAGTCGGAGGATATACGGATATACAAATTTACGAATGTGAATAGTTTTTTTTTTTCACAAAGCAAAATACTTTCCTTAGTATAACTACCTTTGGAAACATGCTTATTGGCCCGAAGTTTGCCCACAATGGTGTTCTAACGGAAGCTGCCCAAGAATAAACACAGTTATTGAAGTGATGCATAACGGGTGCTATTGAAGCGATGCATAGAGGAGCTGTTGAAGTGATGCATAGCGGGTGCTGTTGAAGTGATGCATAGAGGGAGCTGTAGAAGTGATGCTTAGAGAGAGCTGTTGAAGTGATGCATAGAGGCTGCTGTTGAAGTGATGTATAACGGGTGCTATTGAAGCGATGCACAGAGGAGCTGTTAAAGAGATACATAGCGGGTGATGTTGAAGTGATGCATAGAGGGAACTGTTGAAGTGATGCATAGTGGAGCTGTTGAAGTGATGCATAGAGGGAAGTGTTGAAGTGATGCATAGAGGGAACTGTTGAAGTGATGCATAGTGGAGCTGTTGAAGTGATGCATAGAGGGAAGTGTTGAAGTGATGCATAGAGGGAACTGTTGAAGTGATGCATAGAGGGAACTGTTGAAGTGATGCATAGTGGAGCTGTTGAAGTGATGCATAGAGGGAAGTGTTGAAGTGATGCATAGTGGAGCTGTTGAAGTGATGCATAATGGAGCCGTTGAAGTAATGCATAGTGGAGCTGTTGAAGTGATGCATATCGGGAACAGTTGAAGTGATGCATAGATGGGGCTGTTGAAGTGATGCATAGAGGGAACTGTTTTAGTGATGCATAGTGGAGCTGTTGAAGTAATGCATAGTGGAACTGTTGAAGTGATGCATAGTGGAGCTGTTGAAGTGATGCATAGTTGAGCTGTTGACGTGATGCGCAACGGAAGCTGTTGAAGTGATGCTACATTGATGTACAGCGTAACGATGAAGTGATGCACAGGGTGAGCTGCTAAAATGATGCACATTTGAAACTGCAGAAGGAATACACGGTGGGTGATGCTGAAGTGATGCACTCTGGGAGCTACTGGTGTTATGAGCAATGGAAACTGCTGCTGCTGTGTGCAATGGAAACTGCTGCTGCTGTGTGCAATGGGTGCTGCTGATGCTATGTACAATAGGAGCTGCTGATGCTATGTGCAATGGGAGTTGCTGATGTTATGTACAATGGGAGCTGCTGATGTTATGTACAATGGGAGTTGCTGATGTTATGTACAATGGGAGCTGCTGATGTTATGTACAATGGGAGTTGCTGATGTTATGTACAATGGGAGCTGCTGATGCTATGTACAATGGGAGCTGCTGATGCTATGTACAATGGGAGTTACTGATGTTATGTACAATAGGAGCTGCTGATGTTATGTACAATGGGAGCTGCTAATGTTATGTACAATGGGAGCTGCTGATGTTATGTACAATGGGAGCTCCTGATGTTATGTACAATGGGAGCTGCTGATGTTATGTACAATGGGAGCTACTGATGTTATGTACAATGGGAGCTGCTGATGTTATGTACAATGGGAGCTGCTGATGTTATGTACAATGGGAGCAACTGATGTTATGTACAATGGGAGCTGCTGATGCTATGTACAATAGGAGCTGCTGATGCTATGTGCAATGGGAGTTGCTGATGTTATGTCCAATGGGAGCTGTTGATGTTATGTACAATGGGAGTTGCTGATGTTATGTACAATGGGAGCTGCTGATGTTATGTACAATTGGAGCTGCTGATGTTATGTACAATGGGAGCTGCTGATGCTATGTGCAGTGGGAGTTGCTGATGTTATGTACAATGGGAGCTGCTGATGTTATGTACAATGGGAGCTGCTGATGTTATGTACAATGGGAGCTGCTGATGCTATGTGCAATGGGAGTTGCTGATGCTATGTACAATGGGAGCTGCTGATGTTATGTACAATGGGAGTTGCTGATGCTATGTACAATGGGAGTTGTGGAAACAATTCGTGGAAACCTGAATGGCCAACAATACCAAGATGCCGTTCTTCGTCCAGTGGTAGTCCCTCATTTTGACAACCATCCTCTTCAGACAAGACCTGTTTACATGGCCGACAATGCTAGACCACACAGATCTCGGGCAGTTTTGGCTTATTTGCGTCAAGAAGCTATTGCCATTCTTCCTTGTCCGGCATGTAGTCCGGATCTTAATCCGATTGAGCATCTCTGGGAAATTCTTGGCCGGAAAATCAGACATCGTGATCCCAAAGTTCAAAATCTATAAAGAATAACAAGTTTAATATTTCTATTTTTGTCGTGTCTGAACAAGGGCTATGGTCATATCCCAAAGGGATAGAATGGCATTATGTGCAGCACATGACTCAGGCACAGATTGGGGCTGCCTGGGCGATGAGGGATGGACGATTGAGTGATTATTACCCTGACCGTCAGATGATTCTATGAAGGACCAAGAAGCCATTCTTATTGTAACCTCTCTTATTATTTTGTCTCAGAATCTTTTTCTGCGCTGCTAAAAGTTAATTGGAAATCCTTCTTTTAACCTGACACGGAGGTTAACAGCTCCGATCCTGCAGCGGCATGTACAGACTCGATTATTTACAGACCGCCGTCACATAGCTGGAATATTGCTGAGTGCGGCGTTAAACAACAAACAAACAAACAAACAAACAAACAAACACTGCTCTTCTCAGCACCTCATCTTGGAGCGGGGGATCAGCCTCTGTAACTGTGTTTATTGTGTGCCATCGCACCCGAACGGCGTGGAAGGTGATCTACAATTGGTGTTCTATGGCCAAGAATCGTTCAGTTATAGGCCGCCATGATAGCTGAAATATGTTTGATTGCGTATGCATCGTAAAACAACACACACACATGAGGAACCAGACTATGGGTTTCTTATTATTGAACTTTTCATCTTACATTTATTCATAAATTAGAATACAGTGGAATCCAGCTTCTCCGGATCACAGATATCAGGAAACCTCGCCTACGGGACGATTTGTACGTGAAACGAAATATATACTACATACAAGGCTTTATTATCCGGAAATCCGGTTTCGTGATGCGAACATTTAATTTCAATGACCAAAAGTGCAAAATACACACCATTTTGTCTCACGTACCGGACAGGGACTATGTTTGACGATGTTTGTTTTGCAATCCATCACCCGGTATCCAACATCAAGAATATCCAACTTATATAAGAAATGTCTCACGGCGGATGTCGACCACATTGTGGATGTGGCCTGGAGCGGAAGTAAAACCCTGACATGACATAAATAGGTCTGCTTAAAACTACATTTGAAACTGACTATTTCCTGATTCTATGGTAAAATAACGTAGACAAACATAATCAGCGGAAGAAGGTTAACGTCCGTTCGTGTGTATTAAATTGATCCCCTCCCCCCAAAAAGAAATATACAAATAGCACTGTGTGGAAAGTTAGTCTCTTCCCTTCAGGACATCCATACAGATATTCTTAAATTTGTCGATCGAGTCCATCTTAGTTTCCGGGTCTTTGGCGCGTTCGTCCCAAGTCCGCATGCGTAAGATGATCTCGCACAATGGAGATGTCTCGAATGCAGTTGCCTCTTCCGAGTCCATAGGACCTCCTTGATGTTCCAGCGTCTTCTTACTTGCCGGCGTTAACTCTGCGGAATACATGGGCATACGATTAAAGGACGTCCGCTGCTCTGTATTCAACTGTTTTTATTACCTGAACAAACTGTCCAAAAGAAGAGTTCGCTATGCATTTAACTTTTTAGGCGTACAGGGAATTCCTCACAGTGTCAACATGTTTACACAAAATGATTTAGTATCTAACTAAATGAAAAAAAGCAACTACAGACTAATAAAACAGTCAGCTTTAAGAAATAGCTCAATGGTATTGTTAGTGTGCTAGGGTTTCAACAAATGGATGAAAGCTGCGCATTTTCAACTTCTTATCTACACTGACGTATCATTGATGGCACCTGACTTACCACGGCATGCGTAAAGCCATGTAATATGGGTATTAATAAACTTTTCTTTTATTAAAATGCTCTTTTATAATATGATTTAAGTCAAAAATCTAAATTATGATTTAAAGTTCTCTCGCTACACGACAGTTGCGCAATGAACATTTATACATACCTGCAGACATATTTAGTCTCATGACCTAACACATGCTACGCAGAACGATTCAAGTCAGCATAATGCGAACATCGTTATTTGTGAAAACAAATTCCTTTTCAGTAACAATGATTTAACTATACCTGACCCTAGTTTCAAGTAGGAAGGTGTTATGACCGGCTGCTACCGGTAGAGCAGGACATGCTTATCCCTTTCGCGAATACCTGGTCCCATCACTAAATTTTAGTAATCCATTCATAAGATTTTCATTACTTGTTTGCCGTTTACGCTGAATGAAATCTGTTTCGGAAGATAATCGAGACTGGTTATTCCCTGGTGTTGACGTGTTATATTTATGTACTACTTTTCGGTGTCTCCATAAAATGTGTTGATTTGTTTGTTTGTTTGTGGTTTAACGCCGCACTCAGCAATATTCCAGCTATATGACGGCGGCCTGTAAATAATCGAGTCTGGACCAGACAATCCAGTGATTGACACCATGAGCATCGATCCACGCAATTGGGATACAATGACATGCATCAACCAAGTCAGCGAGCCTGACCACCCGATCCCGTTAGTCGGCTCTTACGACAAGCATAGTCGCCTTTTACGACAAGCATGGGTTGCTGAAGACATATTCTAACCCGGATCTTCACGGGTCCGATAAAATGTGACTCGAGTGGTAACCATTTGTGATCTCATGCTCATGCTTTGAAGAATTGGTTTGCTTGATCCCTGTCAGATACATAGAATTGACTGAGGAGGGAAACACCATTGTAAATAATTCCTCTAAACATACTTTCATAGTAATCGGGATACTTCCAGACCAAGTATCTCTTGGCGTTCACATGACCTCCGACAAGATCGCATACGATTTCCGGAAAGCCAAGATCCTGTAGAAACCTGGCTCCAACCGTATCGTGATTCACGGCACCGAGGTTGACGTCATCGGTCACCATCTTCGGCAGCTGTTGTTCCTGTCCCACCAGATGACCGATGTCGTGAAGGAAAGCGCCAATAACTATCTGACACATAAACAGGGCCTTTCTCAAAACACGTTCTTATTTATGGAATCGTATTTTCAAAAATAAACATAACAAATAATATGAGACTTGTGTTTTGCTGGGGAAGGGCCCCAAACGTTTTCTTGAAACATTTGTCAATAAAAAAATTCAAATTATACCTTGCAAGCTTTGTATTTTTTTGACACAAATAATGTTCATAAGAATGTTTCATCTAATATATAAAGACTGACGAGAAAATGTCCAGAGTAAAAAAACGTCATCAATATATATATATATATATTGATATATTGATGTAGTTATTTTACTATGTTACTGACATTATATATATATATATATATATATATATATATATATATATATATAAAATGACATGTATAAAGTAAACATTTCGGTATTGCAATACAATTTATAACTGCATAAATCATGGGCTAAAAGCAACCAGTCACCAAAACTAGATCACCTTACAGGGATCATATAGCATTCAGCTTCTGCATGATGCTCAAGCAGGATTCACGTCATCACTCTAGCTACGGGTTGTTCTGGTCAATACTAACCGATATCAAAATATGCTCAGTGATTGAATGAAGTTAATGCGCTGTTTGGTGATAGTTGATTATGATAACATATACGTGAATGTATGGGTGTAACGGGTGAATCAGGACACATTCACCTCTTCTCCAACCCCTGGTATAATCACTATTTGATAGGGATTAATAACACATGCTAATGACACAGTCGCGATGGTGAATGGACACTGATTTTGGAATGATGTCAATCACTGGGTTGTCTGGTCCAGCCTCGATTATTTACAGACCGCCGTCATATAGCTGGAATATTGCTGAGTGTGGCGTTAAACAAACAAACAAACATAATGATAAAGGTTAGGTCGCTTTTAAAAAAAATTGAAAGGTCAAATATTATTTTCATATTATATTAACTTCACCTCTTTCGAATACCCCTCTGCTTCCGCCAACATTCCACACTGGATACTGTGCTGCGTCTTCGATACAGCCTCACCCAAGTAGTCCTCGTTACCATGGTTACTGAACAGTTGGAACACATGCTCCGTTACCACTCCAGGATCCATTGTACACAATTACAATTACCTGTGGAATCAGGAACATACACGTGGCTAATGCTGTGGGTAGACCTGTCACTCTGTGACACTTACACCTTTACGTTGAAACACTCTCTCTGTTTGATTTTGTTGTATATTAATCTGGGGTAGATTCGTCTTACTACATATACTAGCTTGCGTCAATATGGACTCCTCCCCATTCTTCTGTGCTTTATCCACCATGCAATATTTTCTTAATCGCCACCCGTTCAAATAAGAAAGATTCACGTCCACGTGTAAAGTTTGTTAAATTTTATAAAATTACCAAATACATGCAGCTATTGAGTTAGTCAGAGTATACCGACTGCTTGTCCCCTCGAAACGGACTGGTATACATCATCACAATGGCGGAGAGAGAGAGAGAGAGCGAGAGCGAGAGAGAGAGAGAGAGAGTGAGAGTGAGTGAGAGAGAGAGAGATAGTGAGAGTGAGAGAGAGTGAGAGAGGATGAGAGTGAGAGAGAGAGAGAGAGAGAGTGAGAGAGAGCGAGAGAGCGAGAGAGTGAGAGAGAGAGAGAGAGAGTGAGAGAGAGAGAGAGAGCGAGAGAGAGAGTGAGAGAGAGAGAGAGAGAGAGAGTGAGAGTGAGTGAGAGAGAGAGAGATAGTGAGAGTGAGAGAGAGTGAGAGAGGATGAGAGTGAGAGAGAGAGAGAGTGAGAGAGAGAGAGAGAGTGAGAGAGAGAGAGAGAGAGAGAGAGAGAGAGAGAGAGAGAGAGAGGTGAATATACAAAATATCACTCTAGTACCATGAAGACTAGAAACTACAAACCGGTGATCTGTCGAAGTTGCCAACGTTTATCGCCCACTCCTTCACAGATTACCAATGTGACCTCACGATAACAATGTGGATCTTGTAGTACGCACTGTTCTGATTCATTTGTTAACACACAGTTACCGTTATCACAAAGAAATGTGTCAGTGAATTGTGTTGTCAATGTCAGTATTAAAACTATATCATGTAATCCACAAATCCACCTCACTGAAAAAGTCCCTGGGACACGAAGGCGATACACTTGTTTGTTTGTTTTTTAAGTTATAACACAGCAATATTCCAGCTATATGACGACGGTCTGCAAAAAAATCGAGTCTGGACCAGACAATCAAGTGATTGACATTATGAGCATCGATCCACGCAATCGGGATACGATGACATGCATCAAACCAAGTCAGTGAGCCTGACCACCCGATCCCGTCAGTCGCCTCTTACGACAAGCATGGTGTGGCTGAAGATCTATTCTAACTCGGATCTTCACGGGTCACACCTGGTAGGATATACCTTTGAGGCCCCCCAAGTACGTCGACTGTGGTTAAAGAAGGAAATAACATAAAAGCATTCCCATTTGCTTAATCAGTAAAATTAGCATTTGAGTTCACACTAACTATACTGAACAACAAAAGTTCCTGTGACATTGAATAACATTTAATGCAAAATTATGTTTTTTACCAAATCTGATACAATTTCGGTTTGCAACAGATAAAAGGCTCCTGTAAGTGTTCAAATGGTTTAATTTGCCATACTGACTTCAGATTTCATTTAAAAAACCATGAACATGCCAAAATGTCAATTTACAAATCAATAGCGTGTGTGTCCAACTCTGGTTGCGATGTAAAACGCATCTTCGTCTCATGGAATGGAGCAGGCGTCGCACAAAGTCCTGTGGGATATCTGTCCATGTCTGCTGGAGCATTTTTCGAAGTTCCTGGAGTGTCTGTGTAACACGTGGTTGACGTCGAAGGCGCCGATCCATCTCATCCTACATGTGCTCGATTGGTGAGAGATCAGAGGAGCGAGCCGGCCAGGGGATGACATTCACGTTGTTTTGTTGAAGAGAATCCTGAACAACGAGCAATATGAGGCCGGGCGTTGTCTTGTTGAAAGGTAATGCCTGGGCCATGACGACACAAAAACGGTAGAACAAAGGGGCCGATGATCTCGTCGCGGTAGCGCTGTCCATTGAGATTTCCCTCCACCACTATCAAACGGGTCCTCTGTCTTGCTGTAATCCCACCCCATACCATAACGTTGCCGCCCCCGAACCGATCTTCTTTTCCATGACACAATGATTGACGTAACGTTCACCTCGAGGTCGGTACACTCGAATCCGTCCATCGCCGTGGCTGAGGTGAAAACGAGGCTCGTCAGTGAACAGAACTCCAGCGTAGACGCTGTCTGCACCACGGTAGACGTGCTTGACGGTGATTTCCTGTCAAAATGGGGCGTCTGGCGGGTCTTCTGGTGACAATCCCTGCACATCTGAAGCGACGACGTATGGTTTGTGAAGATATTCGTCGAAGGCCAGGGATGCGTCTTGCAGTCACTGTTGCTGGCTGGAATCGATTTCGTAGATTTGGGGTAGTGAAATGCATGGGGCTTGCATGAAGGTCAACTTTTGCATGGAATGCATGCTTTTCTATAGCAGTTGCGTTTTTGTGACTTGATTCCATACATGTACTACAATATTGAAAACCAAACTTTACTTGTTTGAAAAATACACTCAAATATTGGTGTCACAGGAACTTTTGTTGTTGAGTATATGTTCTTGACCCATATCCGCCGACAGGCCACCCACACTAACTCTGTTAAGAGCCCTTACAGACGGTAGCCCAGTCTCTTGTCAAGCTCATTTGCGTTAGGGAGCAAATCGACTCACCGCGGCTAGTAGCACTAGCGGGCAGTGTTAGACAGCCGGGAATTAGCCAGAGATTTGTGCCCGTGTAAGAGCTGTTGACATACCTTCTGACAGGCCACCAACACTGCCACTAACCCTGTTAAGAGCTCTTTACATACCCGCTGACAAAAGGCATTTTTCAGCCTATGAGATATGCGAGGGTTGGAGGGAGACAAACCTGTCGCCTCTTCCACGTATGGCTGTTGTCGACAGAAAGACGGACTAACCTAACGACCTTGACATCAGCCAGGTTCCCTGTGTAGCGCAACGCGAGTTGCTTCCCTTAGAGCGTGCTTGATCATACAATGTAACCAGCTGCCCCATGCACGCATGACATATTAAATATAGGGTCTATTAGAGACAGACCGCATCCGTGGTCTAGTGGTAGAGCGTTCGCCCGGAGAGCGGAAGGTCCGGGGTTCGATCCCGCTCCGCGTCTTACCAAAAGACGTTAAAAGATGGTACTTGTTGTTACCCTGTCTGGCGCTCGGCATTAAGGGGCTAAAACAAGGACTGGTCGGCTCGGAGTCAGTATACTGTGTCTGAGTGGGATATTCATGTTAAACTGCGGCATGGTATCTCAGTGAGCTAGCACTATAAATCGGCATCAGTCCGGACTAGTACAAGCAGCCACACAAACACACACACGTACATGCACGTCGCTATATAAGTGGAATAATCTTGGACGCGACGTTAAAGCCCATTTCATCTCATCTCATCTATTTGAGACATACTTATCTGCCTTTTATTCGCTTGCTCTAAGCGACAGATTTTTTAGGCGATTATAACTTCCGGCGCATACACGTTCCAGTCGCTTGCAACAATTGCCTATTGTCACTGTTTGAATAACACAGACAAGGATGTTTATTCAAACTTTGTTATCGTTCATCGAGGTTTCTGCATGCTTTCTACTAATCTTGAATATTAAGCATGTATTACAAATACTGTCTTTTATGTAATGTACAGAAATACGGATTTATGTCAAATGAAACGTGTTTCAAAGTAGACGTTGATTTTCAGCAAGCCTTGGCTTTTTTTGCGGTTAAACGTATTTTATGAGCACCCGGTAGCTGAACAATCAGTGTGTGCTGTTCCCATGCAAAAACCACGGGAGTATCATGTTGACAGCAAACATCCAAATTGTGAGTGAGTGAGTATGGTTTTACGCCGCCTTTAGCAATATCACGGCGGATACCAGAAATGAGCTTCACACATTGCACCCATGTCGGGAATCGAACCCGATCCTTCTGCGTGACGAGAGAACGCTTTGTCCACTAGGCTACCCGACCGCCCCTCCAAATTGTGATCCGTGGCAAGAACATGCACGTGCAGATTGTGAATCTCGACCTTAAACTTATGTGTTGAAGGATGAATTATTTAATTTCAGAATAAATTTATTTTTATTGAAGTGTATATGAAGCGCGGTTTCTTTTCCCCGTTAGTATGCCAATGGTCTTCTCGACCAGATAAAGTTCATCTTCCGGAGGCAAGGGACTTAACTGACTATAGAAGTCCAGTTTCCACCCTTACTGAACGAGACTGGAATTTCGGGTTTACATTTTGGCTGGACTAATGTGTCCGTCCATAGTCCAATCAAAATCGCGTAATGGACTTGACATTTCGTTCCCAAACAACATTGATTTCAACGTGCGTGTGTACCGTCAACTGGGCATCGACAGATATTTTCCAAATCTTTTTCATGTTTTTTCTTCAGGTGATTTGATGCACTTCGCGAGGTAAGACCCGTTTTATTACAAAAGAGATCTTCACTATCGATCAGATCGTCTTGTGCCTTTTTGTTCGTAGCAAATACAAAGGATGTGAGAGGTGGAATCTGATTGGTCAGTTGGAGAGATATAGAAGGGACATAACACGTAATAGCCATTGGTGGCGCTTCGATCGAGTCACGAATTCCCAGCCCAATTCGGCAAGGGTGGAAACTGGACTTTTATTGTCAGTTAACGCCCTTGGCACGGGAAGATGGATAAAGTTATATTGTAGGAAATAACTATCGCTTCTCGTCACCTTGGATACAAAAATACAGTAAATATTATCCTTTTTCCACTCCTCAAATTTGAACATTATTGTTGAGCATGATATTTTTTATGTTCCAAAACGACACATGGCAATTGGCAAGTATGGCTTGTGGTAAACGGTAACCAACTGGATCAGTGACTTTTTCGAGTGTGTGTCATCGTATCTAGAGAACGTATGATGTTGCCCACGGGAATATCTGGTGTAAACTGCCGGGCAAAAGACATTATACCCTTTAGTTTTGACAAAAGAATTACACACATTATCAATAGTGGTGTAACGATACATCGAACTATCGATTGATTGCGATTGCTTGTCTCACGATAGTACACTATCGATTGCAACTTGAAACAATCGATACTATTGGCGATAGTTTGTCTAACTATCGATAGTTTCGATAGTTAATTTGTTTGGTACATCTACTTTCTTAATAAACATAGAAACAACTCCTATGATCATCTAACCTTTGTCGTGCTTTCGTTTGGATTGCACTACTTTGTCTGCTTAATTTAGAGTTACGTCCCTTAGCTACTCGTCGCTAGGTAACATTGACGAGATGGCGGACGCCACATGTCAGTTTGAAATTGTCGCCAATAAGGCAGGCAAATCGTGGGTATGTGACCATTTTGGCTTTGTCAAAACGCAAAACGAGACAGACAAGCAAAAAGTAAGTTGTAGAATCTGTCGGATAATTCTAAAGTATTCAGGAAATACAACTAATCTGACCGACCACTTGACAAGACGGCATCCAAATATTCGTCCACGTGAAAAAGGGGGATCCCGGTCTTCAGTCAGTGGTAGTAACAGTACCTCGAAGCCAAAACGTGTGCAATCAACCGTCTTTTCGTCTTAGAAGCTGACACACAATTCAAAACGATGGAAATCGATCACCGATGCTGTACTGCAATTCATAAATTCATAATTAAGGACCACAGGCCCTTCAGTGTCGTCGAAAATTCAGGGAATGCCAATGTGACAATTAAAGAATTTGACAGTTTGTATAGACAAATACTAGTCATTCAATCACATTCATTCACATTGGTGCTAAAACACTGCAGTAACCTAAGACTTTACCAGTTACATGAAGTGAAATTTTGTATTAAAATGTTTTTGAGAGGTCAATTTGAAACTTGTTTTCTTTTCATTTCTTGTTTTCTTTACAAATAGTATCAGAAAGTTATAATTATTTTGATGGCGTCAGTCCAAATGCTGAGATATATGCTGCTAAAGCCTGCTATAATTGCAAGTGAAAACTATCGCAATCGTATCGCAATAGTAGGGCCACTATCGCAATAGTATCGCAATAGTTGTTTTAACTATCGCAATAGTATCGCAATAGTCAAAAATGCCTCAATAGTCACCCCTAAGTATCAAAACGTTACCAGGCTGAAAACAGTAGCCGAAACACTGCACACTTTGACCTTTAGCCATAATCATGTCGTTTTCACGGCAGTTTATATCACCACCGTAATACAGCTGTAATATTGCAAACTGTGGCATCAAAACTATTTACTAGGTAGAAGTTCAACTTGCCACATGACGTACGGTATTTCAATCAGTGTTGAGGCTTATAAATTCTCGAAACAAGTTAGCAAAGCATTCGGACTACAATATCTGATTTCTGTACCTTGAAAAAGAACTTAAATGGCCTGTTCCGAATGTAAATAATAAAGTCTAAAACTATGTGAGCTACAGTCTCGCGGCTCTTTATAATTCTTCAGAGACTGCTTATCAAAATAAATAGTGTTGTTCGCCAAACCACCAGAAAATTTGCAAAGAAAGTAGAAATTACACGAAATTGTGTGTGTGTGTGTGTGTGTGTGTGTGTGTGTGTGTGTGTGTGTGGTTTCGACACCCTAATAAATCCTCCAGAATCCAGAAACAATATACACATAACATCTGTAGAGCAGTAGTGGTATCTCTTGGAACAAGTCTCGTGCTCACCATTGCATTACATAACCAGACAATTCGAACTGATAACCGCTACAGCTGACGTTTGACTATATGTAGATACATATTTTGTTGACTCCATCATATTAATCGGTAGACTTCTCAAGACATCGAAACGTGTTTCTTTCTTCTTCTTTGTGTGTGTGTGTGTGTGTGTGTGTGTGCGTGTGTGTGTGTGTGTGTGTGTGCGTGTGTGTGTGCGTGTGTGCGTGCGTGCGTGTGTGCGTGCGTGCGTGCGTGCGTGCGTGTGTGTGTGTGTGTGTGTGTGTGTTCTGAGTTACTTCTGACACAGGCTGTGATAAGATTTGTGGTCATTTCAAACCCGTCTGTCAGATAACTAGTGTCCATGCTACAGTTGTTCAACGTCGTGTACATTTACTCAATTACACTAAGGGACCTTTGAAATTATTAATTAACATGTGATTATCAAGACAACTTCATTTACAACGGGTCAGTGGTTACATTTACATGTATTATAGAGACAACAGGAAGTATTTACTCGTCTTATCGCGACACATGTCTTGGTTACCCCGATGTGTGCTCATTATGTTTACCATGATAAAACGTGATGATGACGTGAACAAATACAGAACTCGTGGAACGAAACTCTTCCTTGATTATCACGTGATTTGTATGCGCTAACATTTATCACTTCCTCGTGAGTCGTTCTGTACTGTTCAGTGGGTGAACTCGGACCAACGATGGAGCCTGTAGGAAAACTTTTCCCCATGTTGTTGTTTGTGTTTGTGAGTTCAGTCCGTTCTCATGAATGTGGAGTTAATATCACATGTGAAAGACAACGAAAGCAATGCTTCAAATGTGAATGTGGAGACCCATGTGCGTTTTGTTCAAACACCCTTCTTACCTTCATACCCGACTTTCACAGGGAAATACTTCTCCTCAATTTCACTGGAAATCAACTGGGTGTTCTCTCCAAGGAGACGTTCATAAACGTCACAACTGTTCAAATATTGAAGCTGAAAAACAACAGCATTTCCTTGGTACATGTGGACGCATTCGAACTGCTTCATAACATGACGTGTTTGGATTTGTCTGAAAACAATCTTTGTGAAGACAAGCTAGCTCTCTCAAATATGTCCCATGCTGTGGGGAATACACAGGTTGAAATGCTTCTTCTGGAGAAGATTGGACTCAGTGAATCTTGTATAGAAGGGTTAAGAAATATGTCCTCATCTGTATTAAGAAGGGTTGATATCAGCAGCAATGCTATTTCCCATCTCGACTTTTCAATATTTGAGAAAAATCAAAATCTTACCGGTATCACGGCTGAATATTGTAAAATTAATTCGACGAGTTTTATACGTTTACCGTCTCTGACACAATTAACGTTAAGGGATAACTTTCTTACAGAGTGGCCAGACTTCTGCAAACATGACAATCAAAGTATTCCCAGACTGAAGAATCTCAACCTGGACCGAAATAAGTTACAGTCAATCCAAACAGACAAATTTGATTGTCTAAGAGACCTGAAGAAACTGTTTTTTTCACGGAATAGTTTAAGATATATTCCTAAAAATACTTTTCAAAATTTTCCAAATCTGGTTGAAGTATTCCTCCAGGTGAGCTTGGCTTGTATCAGCATTGAGGAAGAAAAACCTTTCAGTAGAATTAACTCCTACGCATTCAACAGCAGCCATCTGACCACCATAGTTCTACAAGGATGTCAGCTAAAATTCCATGTGGATGTAAGCACGCATGCCTTCGCCGGTTGTTCAGGTCTCTTAAACTTAGACCTGTCTGGAAACCTTCTGGATCGTGTGACTGTAAAAGACATGAGTGTGCTGTTGGGCGGTTTGTCAAATTTGAAATCCCTAAATCTTTCAAACTGTAGATTGCTATCCATTCCCATAGTTTTAACACAAAAACTTGTCAAACTTCGACGTCTTAATTTAAATGAGAATAATATAGGCTATCTGAGAGTGGGGACCTTCCGAAAATTGACTCAGCTTAAACAATTAAAACTTAGCGGTAACCGTTTTGATTTGGTAAACAAGGATGTCTTTTTTCAAACGTTTCTGTCTCGGCTTCATATATTGGATCTTAGTGACAACAGAATATCGTGTACATGTAAAAATCTCTGGTTCATAAAATGGATACAGGAGGGTGACCCAAACAGCGTCTATCCAAAATCTGGGAAAAACTACACCTGTGCCAGTCCGCCTGACATGGAGGGCCAACTAATAACAAGTTCTCCCTTGTCCATACAGAAATGTTTGACTTCACCCTTTCTGTTTCCTTTAGTAGTGACCATTTCCGGACTCATTGTACTGGCCATCCTTGTTCATGCGTTCGTCCACAGGTGGCGCTGGCGCATACGTTACTGTATCTACATGCTAAGATATAAGAACAGAAAACAAGATGACCAGGAACGGATGATCTTCGCCTATGATGCCTTTGTCATGTACGCTGATGCTGACTCTTTGTGGGTTAGGAGTCAGTTGATATCTAATATCGAGACAACTCAAAGACTTAATCTGTGTGTACACGAGCGAGACTTTATACCAGGGCAATATATTGTGGACAACATAGTACATTCTATGGAAAAGAGCAATAAAGTTATCATTGTGCTATCAAACAGCTTTAGTCAAAGCCCTTGGTGTCAGTTTGAGTTGGCTCTGGTCCAGAAACGTGCTATGGAGATGGACGGGGGCTACCTGGTGGTACTTCTGCTGGAAAGCATCCATGCCCGGAACATGACGCCATCTCTGTATGCCCTGCTGCAGACAACAACCTACCTGGCGTGGCCAGTGGAAGAAGAAGATAGAGAGTTGTTTTGGAACCGCATTGGGCAGTGTCTGCAGCAATGATTATCACAGCTTAAAGTAAAAACGTTCACTACTGTAAGTGATGAGGTTTTCACAACTGTGCAAAGGTTGTTGGTACGTAGATAGAAATTGGGATTTCATCCATAAATATGAGGTGTTTTGATAAGTTGCATATGGATGACACAGTCACCTAAGTGAGTGAGTGAGTTGGGTTTTAACGCCGTTTTTAACAGTATTCCAGTTATATCGCGGCGTGTCAGCTTAATGTGGAAAGAAAGCCCGAAGTGATGCAGGTAACAGACGTTTACCACTTCGGTGAAACACACGAGCACGGGTATGGTGCTGACAAACCTAGAAACATAATCGGGGCGAACCGGAATTCGAGCCAACAATCAGGGGTTTCTGGTGTGCCCAAGGGACACAACTCTGCACCGCGAATTGCATGTGGGGAGTTGTGGTCCTTGGCTGGTAAGGATCTTGTCATCATGGCTTCGCCACGATTTTGTTTGACAGTACCATACCCTCGTTCGTGAGTTTCAAGTACCAGATCCACTTTGCGAATAGAGTGTGCATAGGCTCCCCTCAGACCGCCTCCGTGGTCTAGTGGTAGGACGATCCCCGGCCGCGTCATACCAAAAGACGTTAAAAGATGGTACTTGTTGTTACCCTGTCTGGTGCTCGGCATTAAGGGCCTAAAACAAGGACTGGTCGGCCAAGAGTCAGTATACTGTGTTTAAGTGAGGTATTCATGTTAAATTGCGGCATGGTATCTCAGTGTGCTAGCACCATAAATCGACATCAGGCTGGACTAGTAAAAAACGCAATACATTTTCATGGACATAACACATAAATGCATTAATTATCCTAAAGTCATATTTGATATGTTAAAAGTGTGCATCAGTTCAACATAGATAATCTCTATAAGCTAGATGGTTTCATATTCAACAGTTAATGACAGATATCTACGACCTTCTATTACCTGTCGACACTTCCTTGTCTTATACTCGTTATATTACGAAGGATTAACTATTGTAGCCTTGATTGTTTGTTCAAATCTAATTATGAACGATAATCCAGTACCGCCATCATACATACACGTGGGGAGGCACGGGTGGCCCAGTCGTCTAAGGCGCCGCGATTCGCTGTACAGAGTTGCGTCCCTTGGGCACGCTAGAAACCTATGATTGTGGGTTCGAATCCCGGTTCGCCCCAATTATGATTCTAGGTTTGTCAGCACCATACCTGTGCTCGTGGGTTTCACCGAAGTGATAAACGTCTGAGACCTGCATCACTTCGGGCTTTCCTCCCAGATTAAGCTGACACGCCGCGATATAACTGGAATATTGTTAAAAGCGGCGTTAAACCAAACTCACTCACTCACTCACTCCTATTTTTTTATGACAGTTAGACAGGTTTTCGAATACACGAGAATACCAGTTATGCAGGTCACTGAGCTGTTGCTATTAACATGTACATATAAGGCATCTCTCTCATAATACAATGGGGAGATTAAGATATATTGTTCAACATTTCTCTGAAGCCATTATTCACGGGCGCGTGTATACACTGTACTTATATAAGAAATATGTTCAAAACATAACAACACTGGACCTGCAAACCTTATTTTAAGATGCAACGTGAAGTGTGTGGAAGTTAGGTATGAATCCCGTTATACAAATCTGGAAAAAAAGGCGGACCCAAATAATTACAGAGGTATTTATTTTTCTTTTAAATGTTACTGGCAAGTTATTCACTTTTGTGTTAGGAAAAAGGTTGAGAACATGGATCGAAATTAATGATTATATATCGGAATCTCAAGCTGGTTTTCGCTCTAACATATAGATAATATGTACATTTATTGCATTGTGCTCGAAATATATAATTATGCAAACCGAAGGGACGTTTTTACTGTGCTTTCGTTGGTTTTAAGAAAGCCTACGTATTTGTGGATAGGCAAAAGTTACTGTATCTACTTGTAATCAAGGGTTGTCATGGAAAAATGTTTAATGTTCTGCAAAGTATGTATTCATCTGTAAAAAGCATGAAAAAGGCTGACAAGGGTAAAACAGATTGTTTTTCAACGTCCCGAAGTGTGGGACTGGGGTGTATTTTGAGTCATTTTGTTCATTTTCTTTATCAATAAACTTGTTATTGAAATTCATAAACAATTAATTAAACAAATAAAGTAATTATGGTTTTCAACAGCATGCAATATTTTTTATTGTAAATTTTCACCAATATTACTATATGGTTCGGAAATATGGGGAACAAAATATTATGCTGCCTTCGAAAAAGTACATACCTCATACTTCAAACGCTTTTGGGGTATTGGTAAATATGCCTCAAACAAAGCAATTCTTGGTGAAACTGGACGCTGCAATATGTTTGTGCATAGCCAAGTAAGAGTAGTTAAATACTGGATAAAGTTACTAAGAATGGAAGAATGTAGATATCCTCTTCAGTGTTATAAATTGTTGAAGCAGTTGGATGATAACGGTAAACAAAACTTGGTATCTGAAGTAAGTAATCTATTATTTACATGTTGTTTTTCTTTTGTGTGGATTGCACAGGATATTGGAAACATTCAAGTATTTATGGGAATATTTAAGCAGCGAGTGAAATATGTATTTGCACAAAACTGGAACGAAACTGTTTCATCTTCGCATTATCTTAGCAATAATAGTAAACTGAAGACACATTTTCAACGGGAAATGTATTTATCTGTCTTACCAGACATGTCATTAATAAGGTCGTTTTGTAAATTTAGAATCTCATTACATAATTTTAATGTAAATTTGTGTCGTAAATCGAAAGATATTCATGCTGTTAACAGTGTCTGTACCAATTTTGACAGAGGTGAAATTGAAGATGAATTCCATGTACATGTATTCCAAGTTAAGATCTACATATCTCCCCTTCTTGAATAATGACTATAAATCTGAAATTTTAATTATCAATCTTATCAACTCACAAAATAAACATGTAATCTTTTCAGTGGCTACTTATATAAAGCATGTTTTTTCTATCAGATTCAAGAAGATATAATTTCTGTATATGCACGTGACATCATATTATGAGTTAGTATCAAATGTACTTTTGGCCATATGGCCATAATACTGAATAAACCTCTCTGTCTTTCTGTCTGTCTGTCTGTCTGTCTCTATAAAGCATAAAACACAAAAAATGTATAGCAATGGATCATGACATAGTTGTATGTTGTTGTTGTTGTATATAGCTTTCTATTCGTATCGAGTTAATACATAACTATGACAGTTTTGATGTATCCGAATTAAGATGGTTCAGTTTAAAGTTATACTAATATTGTAGGCACTAACTGGTGTTTATTTAAATTGGATATGGTGAAGCATCAGTTTGTTCATTATGTAATGAACCATCTGAAACAATCGCTTATGTATTATGTAACTGTCAATCTTTGCTTTACACATTTAATAGAAAAAATATTATGAAATTACAAAATGTATAATTTTGCATATTCAAATTGTAATTATGCAAGTTTCCATGCCTTCTGGTCTTCTTGACATTTATTATTTGGAAACCCTTATAAACTATGATATATGATTATGTATGCTAACTGTAACAACTACTCCATGCATACTCTATGCATGACATTGAAATGTAAAATATGAGGGGAAAGGTCAGAAGTGGAGAAGAAATAATGATGTATCATCAGTCACTCTGTATGCTGGTATGTGTTCTCTCAGAGAAACACGAGAACCACAGATCGTGGCAAGATGACGCGTTAATGTGTGTCCCGCTTTCTCAAGTTGTCCTTTGGAGATCAGGTCAAATAATGTTTAAATTTAATTTTTATTTCACAGCATTTACTGCTGTCAAACGGATTTAAAGGTTTAGGTATAAAATATTCACTTGAAAACATGTGTACAGTTATTTGCTGTATACATCACATCATAATAGTGTTATTAATAGTGTCAATGGCATTTCCGTATCATAGTAATTACTATACTGCTCGCTAAACCACGAATCTATTTAAACATAGGAGATTAGCTTATTCTTTGTGGCAAAAATTGACTATTTCCGTATCGTATTAAATACTATTTTGCACGCTGTACCATATACTTTGAGATACCCCTGCGTGAGATCGCCCTACACATGGTCATTGCTCACATTATTATTTGTACACGTAATGTTTCCTTTATCACTTTGGTTATGGCTTTAAATCTATTGTATATAATGTTCTTAACGAATAAAGATTTCCAAAGATTGTGATTGTTCTGTATGGAATGAAAAGGTGTGTGCGTGTGTGTGTGTGCGTGCGTGTGTGTGTGTGTGTGTGTGTGTGTGTGTGTGTGTGTGTGTGTGTGTGTGTGTGTGTGTGTGTGTGTGCATTTAAACGTGCAATGATGCTAATTCGTGATAATTTTCCACAATATAAACAGAGAAATGAGATTCGTTTAAAAATTGATATTCATTGTGATAAATGGCAGAACGTGAAATTATGATGCTTCTACATTCAAATAATAAAATTATTCATAAGTAATCTCTCAAAGCAGAGTCGATCGTACGATTTCGACTATATTATGAGCATGTGTTTATGAATTAAAGCCTGGGGATTTTGCGTCCCCGAAGCTGTTACTGGGTATTGACGTGTATGACCCTGGGTGGACAGGCTATGCGACTTGTATGACACCAGGAGGTCAGGCTATGCAACTTGTATGACACCGGGTGGTCAGGCTATGTTACATGTATGACAACGGGTGTACAGACTATGTGACGTGTATGACATCGGTCGGACAGGCTACGTGACGTGTATGACACCGGGTCGTCAGGCTATGTGACGTGTATGACACCAGGTCAGGCTTTGGAACTTGTATGACACCCGGGTGGTCAGGCTATGTAACTTGTATGACAACGGGTGGTCAGGCTATATGACATGTATGACACCGGGTGGTCAGGCTATGTAACTTGTATGACACCCGGTGGTCAGGCTATGTGACCTGTATGGCACCGGGTGGTCAGACTATGTGACGGGTATGACACCGGGTGGACAGGTTATGTAACTTGTATGACGCCGGTCGGTCAGGCTATGTGACCTGTATGACAATGGGCGGTCAGGCTATTTAACTTGTATGACACCGGTTAGTCAGACTATGTGACGTGTATGACACCGGGTGGAGTGGTTATGCGACTTGTATGACACCAGGAGATCAGGCTATGCAACTTGTATGACACCGGGTGGTCAGCCTATGTGACCTGTCTGACATCGGGTGGTCAGG